TGGACAAATGTGGACAATTTATAACACTGGTCACTTTGCATTGCCGGAAGTAGCCTTAAAGCAGTAGTGAAAATCAAATGCACACAATTAAAAATAAATGTAGACACCACGTTCAGAAATTTAGTCTCTTAGGTTATACCCCACCAGTTGGCACCGAAAGCAAATCTATTAGGGATTACTTAGCAACCCTTGAGCTCTTGGTTAGTACAGTGCTAGTTTGTAGGGTAGAAACTTCCTTTATTTATTAGCTACATTATCCTTGGTGCTTCAGTGCTAAAACTAATGAAGCAAACTTCAGACCCCAGACTCTCGGGTGAAACTGATTATTTGCCAAACTGTTTTTTTTCAAACCCTCAGACCTGTTTGTCTTCTGGTCCAGTGCATCACTGAGCTGTCAAAAGTGCATTTGAAGTGAAGGCCTGTAATTTTATTCTAGTAGATCACATGCCTGTTAGCAGGCAAGGCATAGTGCTGTCAGATATGACACAGCTACCATTTAGCTGTGCTGATGGTATGTTACTGTATCCAAACAAGTTCTAGCTCACTTCATTTACTGAGATTTACCTTTTAGCCCAGGGTTAAGAACCAAAACATTTTTAGTGCACTGCCATTGTGGTGCTGCATAGGCCTCGTGTAACCTGCTGTGATATCATGAAAAAAACCACTGACCACACAAAAAAAGGCAGCCAGAGACCTATTAAATATTTATGCTCAGGGGCCGATAACTTGGTAGTTCAGGCCTGTATGCAGACCAATGGTCTGACAGCTTGGCTATTACAATTAAAGTTGCCTCAGTGCAAGCAGGTGTGTAGCAACTTGTGATATATCCAGAAGAGTTAATGAGCAGAGATTCAATTAACTGCAAGGAAGGAAAGAATAAATACAGTATCCAAAAATAAAACCCAGTATCCAAAAAAGTTGGAACATAATGTGAAATGCTCATGAAATTAGAAACATTTTATTAGTAAATTTTGTTTGACCTGTTGAATTGAATATGGTACAAAACACAATATTTGATGCTTTACCTTATGAACTTCACTGTATTTTTGGTGAATATTCGCTCATTCCAAATTTGATGCCTGCAACACATTCCAAAAAAGTTGGGACAGGAGCATGTTTACCACTGTGTTTCATCACTTTTCCTTTTAATAGCCCCTAATAAGTGTGCAGCTTATAAGGCCTTTGTTTTAGTATTTTCAGCTTATTATGACACGTTTTCAATGGGAGAAAGGTTAACAGCCATGCTGTTACAGCACATGCAGAATATGGTCTGGTGTTGTCATGTTGAAATAAGTATAAAAGACGGCATCTAGAAACGTCCACTATTTCCTTAAACAGTCGTCAGACCACAATCCACTGAGCATCAGTCCATTTCAGATGACCTTGAGCCCAGAGAACTCAGCAGTGTTTCTGGGTGTTGTTGACGAATGACTTCCGCTGTGCATAGCAGAGTCTTAACTTGCATTTGTGGATGCAGCAACATTGTGGCAGAGCTGTCTGAGGGGTCAAACATCATGGGCCTTTTCCGCTTTTGATGATGTTATGCACTGTAGAGGGTGAAATACCTAAGAACCATGCAATCCCTGGTTGAAGAACATTATTTTTTCACTGTTGCATTTTTTTTCTGATTCATTTTTGGCAAAGTGCTGAGCCTCGACCCAACCTTGCTCATAAAGATCGAGGCCTTTCTTGGATGTTTCTTTAATAGCCAAGCATGATTGCATCACTTGTTTAAGATTTTAAGTTTTCAAACATTTCACAGTGTTAATATTCTTAAATTGCTCCTGTCTCACCTTTTTTGGAACATGTTTGAGGCATTAATTTCAGAATGAGCGTACATTTACAAAAAAGCAATGAAGATGAACTTTGTTTCAGGTCAAAACAGATTAATGAAGTAACTGCTTTCTGTTTTCATTTTCATTTCCCAACTTTTTTTGGAATTGGGTTTGTAAATAAATAAAGACTTGGATTTATTGGCTGAAATTAACATACGGCTTAGCTTTTTAGGAGCTTGTACTGGTGTTAAAATTCAGTAGCACAAAAAAGTGAGCAATAGGCAGAAGAATACATTTTAAAATGTTTTAGAATTCACAGTCATCCAAGGGGAAATGTTTGTGAGCTGAGTGAGTAACGGAGGCTCCTCCTTCAAATAAGCTAATGAGAACACTGACAACAGCCTTATTCTGCTTTTTCTGTCAATCCTTGATGTTGCATCCTTTGTAACATGCTCACGTCGAGGCACTCGTGTTTTATAGCAGCAAAAATAATTTTCACACATACTATAAAATGGTCAAAGCAGCAGAGAAGCATAATCATATAGTAATTGTGCAGGTCTATTATATTTGAAAACACAAGCAACAGATCGAACTCAGTATCAGCTGATATAAAAGATCTTGGATCAGATTGGAGGGCAAAAAAAGATTGTATTAAAAACCATGGCAGTCTTATAATCTAAACTGACTGATGATGAAGGACTAGAGGACGGCAGAACTGACGTCAAACCCACTGAAAAGTCTGTGGAAGGTTAAAGCATATGTTTTTCTTCAGCCAATAGGTTTGAATAAAATAGATGTTTAATATGTGCCGTATCTGAGTCATGCGCTAGTCTTGAAAAGCATTGAAATTGATTTTTTTTAACTTTAAAGCAACCATGTAAATTAAAAAAAGCACCAGTGAGTCATAATATTTGATAAAAATGAATTTGAAGAAGGTGACAGGTTTAATGCTGACTGATGGAGAAAACAAAGTAAGATGAGTAATCAGCAAGATCTGAGGTTCAGCAGTATGGATGATGGTGGGCTCACTATTTGGCAAACAACAAGCCACTGCTGCCCTTTTAATTTATGTACAATAACTGATTATTAATTCTTCTTAAAGTGCTTATGTTAAGGTGATTATGAGCAAATTAATAATCATTATATAACTACCTTTAAACCATTCATAGACGCTTTTTAGTTGTATCGTTATTGTAAAGTGGTATCTATGCTGCTTCTGAGTAGTAAGACTTCAGACACTTTGTCGTGCTTAGATATCTAGACCTCTATCTCTATCTATAGACCTCTTTTTATGGTTGTGTGATGTTACAGTGGTAGAATGTTAATTTAGAAACCAGCTTGTTTTGATGATTTAGTAATACGCTGTCCACTGCTGCCAGTTTGTGAAGTTTGCCACAAGCTTTCCCTCTGATGTTTTCATGCTCTGATGCTTTTGTCCCTTATTCTTTATCAAAGCTTTGTGAGGCTTTGCTTGTGAAGTCGCTAATAATCTGTTAGTGCCAACTCTAAAGCACTGTGTAATAGGCCTGGGTGAAGGGGTGATGTAACTGGATATTGTTTTTGAACGAGAGAGGACTAATTTACTTTCAGTTTGCAAAATAATATTAATATGTGCACAATGTTTTATTCACTTTTATTGTTACAACATTTTATTATGGGTTAGTTTAGGACCTTAAAAAGTCATTTGACAACAGCAGAGTGTCTCTAGAAGGAGCTTGTGAATGCATGTTTGCTGTAACATCTTTTAAAATGACAAGTGTAGTAGTTTTTGAGATATTGGGTTACTCTGTATTATATTACAACCCGATTTCCAAAAAAGTTGGAACGCTGTGTAAAATGTAAATAAAAGCTAAATGCAATGATATGCTAATCATTTAAACTCTATATTTCATTTAAAGTGTTTCAAAGACAACATATCAAATGTTTAAACTGAGAGATTTTATTGTTTTTTTGTAAAATATATTCCAAAAAAGTTGGGATGGGGCAACAAAAGGCTGGTGAATTTGTGTAATGCTAAAAAATACATGAAGGTTAATTGGCAACAGACCAGTAACTGACCAATGATTGGGTATAAAGAGCATCTCAGAGAGGCGGAGTCTTTCAGAAGTAAAGATGAGAAGGGGCTCACCACTCTGTGAAAGACTGCATGATCAAATAGTACAACAATTCAAGAATAACGTTTCTCAACATAAAATAGCAAAGAACTTTTGCTTTTCATCATCTACGGTTCATAATATAATATTCATAATACGGTTCACTGCCACCTTCTCTGGGCCCGAGCTCATTTAAAATGGACAGAGGGGAAGTGGAAAAGTGTCCTGTGGTCCGACGAATCAACATTTGAAATTCTTTTTGGAAATCATGGACACTGGTCCTCTGGGCTAAAGACCACTTAGCTTGTTATCAGTGCACAGTTCAAAAGCCAGTATTCATGATGGTATAGGGGGCATTAGTGCACATGGCATGGGGGACTGGCACATCTGTGAAGGCACCATTAATGCTGAATGATATACATGTTTTGGCAACATATGCTGCCATCCAGACGACGTCTTTTTCAGGGAAGGCCTTGATTATTTACAACAGCATTGCTCTGTATTAAAAGAGTCTGGGTGCTAAACTGACCTGCCTGCAGTCCAGATCTGTCACCACTGATAACATTTAGCGCATTATGAAATGAAGACCCAAAACGAATGAGCAGCTGAAATCCTGTGTCAAACAAGAATGAGAAAACTTTCTAACTACAGCAGTGTCTCCTCAGTTCCCAAACACTTACAGAGTGTTAAAGAAGAGGTGATGAAGCACAGTGGTAAACAGGCCCCCGTCCCAACTTTTTTGATACCTGTTGTTGGCATCAAATTCAAAATAGGCATATATTTTTCAAAACACAATAAAATTTCAAAGTTCAAAGTTTCAACATTTGATATTTCGTCTTTGTACTATTTTCAGTGACATGTAGGGTTTAAATGATTTGCATTTTTTATTTGAATTTTGTTTTTATTTACATTTTGCACAGCGTCCCAACTTTTTTGGAAATGCTGTTGTATTTAATTCATTAAAACAGTTAATGTTTAAAAACAAGCACATACACTGCCAATAGAATAGAAAGCTAGTCTAAACCATCTAATCATCTGCGATTTTTAAACTAAAAAAAAATGTCGTGCTAAATATTTGTATATATTGCCCAGGTGTACTGTGTGACCTGTGTACGTCTTGTTTGTCTTACAGTGTTTGTGTGGCTGGTTGCTTTGGCAATAGCAGCACCCATGTGGTTTGTCCAGAAAGTAGAGGTAAGTGTCTATATAGTCATCGGGGATGAAGTTTGTTCACAGTCATTCAGATTCATCAGTGCTACACTGTGTTCTTTAGTTTGGGTTCAAGCGTCATTAAATGTCATTATCACTGTTGTGTTGACCCATATTTTTGCTATTTCTCTTTGTTTAAAACATATATGATTTGTCTAATTTCACCATATTACTATGTGAACAGTATGTGGCCCATTTGGCTTCATCTTTATATCATATTAGAGAGTGTGAGAGAGAGAGAGAGAGAGAGAGAGAGAGAGAGAGAGATTGAAACAGTGCATATATCCAGTACTTTTCTTTCAAGGGTTCTTCAAACCCATTATGATCACATGATCTGAATTAACTAACAGTTGCATTACAGTTCTCAAGGGCTGGGATTTTGTCCTACTGTTCATAAAGGTTGTAAAAAAAAACCTTTGATGGATATGGATATTCATATTTTCTTCCATAAAGGCTGGTCAGTCTGAGTGCATCTAAACACGATGCCACTTTGTAGCTCTACTCACAGTCTTCTGTAGTGGCTATTTTTCTGAGAAAAATGAAAAGGAAAATTCCACATGGGGATCATTAACACATTAGACATGCATTCGTTGACTACTGAGTGTTCGTTAAGATCCTTTTCTTAAAGAACGTCAACAAGAACAGAGAAGGACAGTAGGAGACTTTTGATGACTGATGATGAGTTTCTGATTAATGACACCATAGAGACACAACCAAGAGACTGACAATATGAGATTGTTTACTTTCCATAGCAGCAAAATAGATTCTACAAAAATAGTGACTTAATGAGGAAAAATAACAAAACCTAGAAGTAAAAAGTATATGGCCACAAGTAGGTGGACACTTGACCATCACACCTGTATGATTTGTTGGACATCTTGTTCCAGAACCACAGGCATTAATATGGAGTTGCCCCTTTGCAGCTGTAACAGCCTCCACTTTTCTGGGAAGCTTCCCACGAGAGTTTGGAGTGTGTCTGTGGGAATTTGTGCCCATTCAGTCTAAAGAACATTTGTGAAGTCAGACACTGATGTTGGACGAGAGGGCCTGACTCACAATGGACGTCCCAGTTCATCCCAAAGGTGTTCATTGGGGTTGATGTCAGGACTCTGTGCAGGCCACTGGAGTTCCTCCACACCAACCTCCTCACACCATGTATTTATGGAGCTGCTTTGTGCACAGGGGCTCAGTCATGCTGTGTGGTAAGGGCCTTCCCCAAACTGCTGCCTGAACTGTTGCTACGAAGTTGGAGGCATATGATTGTCTAAAATGTCAGAAGTTCCTGAAGCAAAATTACACGTTGTCACATCACTGTTTTCTCACAGTATGTGTTTATGCAGTGTTTGAATATCTGTTTCCTGTCCATTTCATTTTTTTTTATTTGAAATAATCCTTATTTTTCATTTCTTTAAAAATAAAATATTAAATAAAGTAGAATGTAAAAATTGTATTATTTGTAATAAATGCAACAATGTGTGTACATAGAGGATGATTGAAAATCCTCTTCTGCGTAATTCCATATTTGGATCATCCAAACATACATGGGATAAGAAGATAAATTTGCAACCCTTCTGCATAGATTACCCAGATTTGAGTTACTGGTTGAACTTCACATTGAGCTTGACACTTCAATCAGAGCCAGTTTAAGTGGAGACTGGCCGCTTCCTATTTCCCCAATTATACCAAATAAACACTGCATAACGCTATAGGGGCGGCCGCAAGAGAGTCCTCAGCGAATAGGGGTGAAGGGAGCCAAATGGCTTAAAACAAAAAATTCTTCTGGCCGAAAAGGTTCTGGCCATTTTTTGTGTTTCATGTGGTAGTCATGTTTATGTCATAGTTTATGTGGGTACTTTCTTTAATTTTGGTTTTAGGCAGTAGGACCCTGGCATTACTGCTTCTGACAGCTAATTAGTTGGCATTACTGCCAATTGGTTGGTGAGCTGATCACCTCATAGGCTGAATAAAGTGGTTTGAACTTACTGACGTCATGAATGTACATAAGACACTGTTAGAAAGACCTACAGCTGAAGTTTTATTTATGGTTATTATTTTGGTCATACATGGGACAACTAGCAGTGGAACCGTGTTTGAACTGGAGTTCAAAAGCACTCCTAATATAAGAGCAGTGTTGAAATAAGCTTTTCTGTGTTGAGCAAATTGCATTTATCTGTGTAAAAGTGATTAAGCATTTATAAAAGTTCTGTAGGAAAGCCATTCATTGCTCAGTAGTGCCCTCTAGCGTCTAACAAACCCAGAAGACATTATTAAGTGTCAGTTCTCACTATAAATTCTCTGCTTTAAACCTACAGGTAAAATATGACTTCCTGTTTGATGTTCATCACACCTGTTGCCTGGAGGTGTGGCCAAACCCCCAGCAGAGACGTGGCTACACCGCCTGCCTCTCTGTGCTGGTCTTTCTGGTTCCCATGTTGACCATGGCGGTTCTGTATGGGAAGATTATGAGAGAGCTATGGGGAAAGCACAGAGTGCATGAGGCCATGTTCCAGACCCTGCCAGGCTCCGAAATCAACAAGATCACCAGGTCAGGAATGTGTAATATCTGTAATGAGGAATTGTATATCAGCTAAGTGGCAGAGCTGAGTTTTCTAAAGAAGGAAAATGTTTCTAAAGAAAAGGAGCTGTAAATGCAAGAATCGATGTATGACGCAAAGAATAAGATTCAAACTCTGCCCAGTAGTTTTTTATGATGTTTTTGGAGTGTTGGAGTAAAATCTGCAATATTGTGCTCACAATGGGCTTTATGAGAAACGCCTTTATTTTCCTTTATCCTGTAACCTTGGTCATTGCTTACACATCATGGGTTTTAGGTCAAGAGCTTCGTAAAGTAGCTCTTTGGCAGCAGCTATTGTGAAAGCAGCTGTTGATTTGAATAGACCTTGTGCTCTAAACTGGAAAAATCAGTCTACTTTGGATGGTTGATTAGGCAAGCTGTTTGACATGGAAAATTTAAGAGCTAGAACAAGCAAAATCATTTTTGCCCTCATTTCCAATAATGATGGGCGAAGAGTGATAGATAAACTGGTGACAGTGTGCCAACATTGCACGAGGGTCAAATACCCATCCCAATACCCTAACTATTCTAACTCATTTGTGAAGACCACCCAAATGTGTCAGCTGATGACAATTCCAGAATGTAATAAATTCTCTGACTCGTCAAACCTTGCATCAAACAGCAGCTCAGGATCAGAAAATGAAGCTGACTGAAGGCTATACAGGAAGGCTATTAAGAGCTTGTATGTTGGCCAGAAAGACAAAGCAAAACCCAATATGACAGCAAAGGACCTGCAGGAATGTTTAGAAGATACAGTTAAGTCAAATTTATATATAACAGATGTCACAAAGCAGCTTTACAGAAAATCTGGGTCCAAGCCCCAGTGAGCAAGCCAAAGGACACAGTGGCAAGGAAAAACCTCCCAAGAGCAAGAGGAAGAAACCTTAAGAGGAACCAAGACTCAAAAGGGGAACCCATCCTTCTATGGTCGACACCGGAGAGCAAAACAATAACACAACGAGAGCAATATGAAAAAAAAAAGACCAGGAGCCAGAAGTGGTGGTGCACCGTTCTACTCTACAGCATTGCTTGCACAAACATGATCTGCATGGAAGAGTAATCAGTAAGGAAACACTCACCTTCGACCTCATCACAAAAAAGTCAACATCTGCTGTATGCAAAACAGAGGCATTTTGGAAAAAAGTGCTGTAACCTGACATAGTTAAATAAAACTCTTTGGCCAAAATCACCAAAGGTGTATTTAGAGGAAAGAAAAACAGCATTTAATGAAAAGAACACCGTGCCAACTGTTAAGCGTGGGGTGGATCTGTTAAGCTTGGGGTTTGTGTGGCAGCCAGAAACTGATGCTGAAAAGAGGCTGGCTTCTACAACAGGAACGCAAGAAATGCAGATTGAAGCTTTTGGAATGGCCATCACAGTCACCAGACTCGAACATTAATTAAAATTGGTGGGTAAATATAATATAAGAATATTGTAGAACTAGAAGCATCCTGCAATGAACGGTGGATAAAAAAATTTCTAAGACAAGAGGAGAAAGACCCATAGCTGGCTATAAAAACATTTGCATGCTGTGATATCTGTCAAAAAGGGTGCTAGTCAGTACTAAATTAGCAGGGCATCCGAACATTGGCAATTTACGGTTTCTTTTTGATTTTTAAGTTGATCAAATGTGAAGTAACTGACGTTTGCAGCAATATTTTGCATACAGCTGTATGCGATTAACATTTTGCCATGGTGACTGGGTCATGTACAGGAGGAAGAAGAGGGCAGTGAGGATGATGGCCACGGTGGTGCTGTTGTTCGGCGCGTGCTGGGCTCCATTTCACCTCGTCTCACTGCTGTTGGACTATGGTAACACAAACACACACACACACACACACACACACACACACACACACACACACACACCTGGCATTCTGCCCAACCACAGTAACACATTCACATCACACTTCACTTCATCTTGCCTCTGCTTCACAAACACCCCCCCTCTTGCCTCACTCACTTCACTATGGCAACAAAATCACCTTCCACAGTCACAAACATATTTAGTGTCCAAATCCCTTCCAGCTTCTGTCTCTCCTGCTTGATGCACATTCTACATTTTAATTTGTTTCATGACTTACACACACCTGGAGTTCCTTCTGCTTGTAGGCCTGTCACAATTATTGCATTTCAACGATTGACAATGTCTATTTTTTTTTGTTTGTTTTCTAAGCAGTTTTGCTAGTTCTACCTGGCTAGGTCTCCCCCAGTCACATGACGATATCATGCTGAGAGGGTCTATCAGTCTTGCAGGTGGTTGTTAGGAGTCCCATAATCTCTACAACTTCTAATAATTGAACTCCGCTTTTGGAAACTCCTGTTTTTCGCTTACTCTTCTTTGACTTTCCCTTATCCTAATGCACGTGGATTATCTTATATATAGGTGTAAATCAGCATCTGCTTTTTGTTCTCATCCCTCTTTTCTTACCTGTCAGATATCTCACAACATTTTTCTCTCTCCACTTGATCACTCTTCACCAGTGTGAATGCTTTAGTAGTCTCGTGTTTCTTAGGGCGTACTGTATCACACACTCTGCTGGCTGATGCACCTTCTGCTTCACACTGATAAGGAACAGCTAATTCTTAAGGCTGGCTTATACTTCTGCAAAGGTGCATGTATACCAGGGGTCGGCAACATGTGTCTCTTCTACTGCCCTGTTGTGGCTCCACAGCAGAATTAGATTTGTAGGTAAAAATAAAATAATCCTCCTTTACAGTAAAATAAAGCTCTGCTGATCGTTCAACGCAGTTTAATACTAAATAGTCTTAAACACTGGAGTTAATGTAGAACTGCTAATTCACCCTTTAACCCTGAAGATCAGCACAGACTGCTGGTCACCATAGCAACACAGACAACAGTCTTGCCTAGCTAGTAGCTAACAACAAGGCAAAGAGAAAGATTTAATATGAACATAGATAATTTGGAGCTGAATGGACTTATCTGCATTTATAATCACTCCAGCTGGTTTCCTGATACGTTTAATCTGCAACAAGAAACTGTCAAACACTAAAAAGTCGCAAAGCTGAAGTCGATTCTCCAGCTTCTCGTTCGAGTTTTTCTGTTCCACCTTAAATGGTGCAGCAGTTACATTTTGGCGCCTCAGGCACCATTTAAGGTGGAGCGGGAAACTTTAGTCTCGTTAAAAAGTTAAATGTTGAGAGACATTTTACAAGAAACTATTCTACTTTTGCGGAAAAGTTTCCTGTGAGAAAAGCGCCCATAGCTGAGCTCAAGTTTTAAGCAGAGCAAAGTAAGTCTTTTGCTTTTTATTCTTTATCCTATACTAGTATATTAGCACATACTGAGACACATTAACAGCCAAGATGCTAAACGTTACTTCAATAAAATAGACATAAAATGTTGAGGCTCCCAAGGTGGTTTGATTTTTGTTGAAAGGACAGAATGGCTTTTCTTAACATTTGGGTTGCGACCCCTGATGTGTACCTATATGCATCAAGGTGCAGAGAAAGGGGTTCATCAAGCAAACACTGATTTGCAATCTAGGAGCATCAGGGGCAGGATGAGGCCCAAACACATCAGAAGTTGTGTGTCAGTAGATCATTTTTTGTTGATTTTATGGTGTGCTTTGAATCATTGTCCTGCTAGAAGATCCGACCGACTCAGATTTTGATATAATATTGGCTGGTACTTGATGGAATCCATGATACCATGTACCCAATCAAGTTGTCCAGGGCCTTTAAGCCCCACAACATCACAGATCCACCACCATACTTCACAGTGGGGATGAGATACTTCTCTGGGTGGCCATCTTTATGTCGACACCAGCCCCACCTCTAGTGTTTGTTGCAAAAAAGCTCTGTTTTGGTTTCATCTGACCACAGAATACCGTTCCACTGAAAATTCCTGCAATGGCAGGCAGACTGTAGGTGCTAATTAACAAGATTTGCATAAGATAATTGGTCCTTGAAAGCAGAGGCTTTCTTCTGGCAACTCTTCCAAACAACTTGTGGTTATGTAGGTGGTGTCTTATTGTAGTTTGAGAGAAGTTCTGACCCCAAGACCTGAATAATGCCTGCAACTGTTCCCCATCTGTGATCCTTGGAGATTCCTTAGCTAGTCAAACTATCCTCCTCGCTGTGTGTGGGGTCAGTATAAACATATGCATCAGTATAAACATCCTTGCATCATTTCTCCAATAGTGGAACTGGGCGTTTTCAACTGTTTAGCTGTTTTCTTTTAGCCATTTCCTGATTTTTGCAGCTCTACAGCCTTTAGTCGCACATCACTGCTGTATTTTCAGGTCTTTCTCATAGTGATGGATGACTAGGGGAGTTTAGCCTGTGTCTCACCTCATATTTATACCCCAGTGAAACAGAAAATCATGGCTGAACATCTAAGTGTTTCTAATCACTCAGTTAAATTTAAAAACATAAAATATGAATGTACTCCAGTTAGATTTCACTCATAAGAATTTCTAGATGTGCTAACAATTGTGGCACGCATAGATTTGAGATTTTATCAAACGTAGTTTTTTTTTCTTTAACTCACTGTATTTCAAATAAATGTTAAATTTGTAAACATTTTGAATGAAACATCAAAAGGATAATTAAATAAATATTTTTATGGCCTGTTTTCTCATGTCCACTCTTCATGTTTCTTTCACCTTCTTCACCTGTCTCTATCTTTTGAAAATTCCTCTGATCAAAACATCCTTACTGCACAACAGACCAAAACATCACTATTACACACATCACCAGCTCTCTCATCCACTTCACCTCTGCTCCTCATCCTTCCTGCTAAACCACAGGCCCCCAAAGCAATTCACCTGCTTTTATATAAAACATAGTGACCCGATTATCTCGAACAAAGCAACTGAAACCTTTTGCCCCATCTAAGCATTTAGGCTGAGGATTTTTTGTAGACACCTACACTATATGGGTATGTAGACACCTTTTCTAATTATTGCATTCATGTGTTTCAGCCACAACCTTTGCTATCAGGTGTATAAAATCAAGCACATAGCCTTGCAGTCTCCATAGACAAACACTGGCAGTAGAATGGGTCGCACTGAAGAGCTCACTGACTTTAAACAAGGCACTGTCAGCTCCCGAGTGGCGCAACCGTCCAAGCGTTGGTCTTATCATCAGGAGATGGCGAGTTCGATCCCTGGTGATGCTACAGCCGTCCGTAGCCGGGAGTCCAAGAGAGCACAACTGGCCTCGCTCTCTCTGGGTGGGTGGGATGGCTGCCCTTCTCCCCCATCACTCAGCGCGATGCTAGACAGCGCAGGTGTCTGTTAGCTGACGTTGCGTGAGCGGCAGTTCGAAAAGAAGCGGTGGTTGGCTTCACAGGTCTCGGAGGAAGCCTGTGTTAGCCTTCACCCTCCTAGCGTTGATAGCATCGTGTGACTGGGGGAGTCCTAACTAGCGGGTGGAATTGGAGACGACTAAATTGGGGAGAAAAAAATATAAAAAAAATCCATTTCATGAAATTTCTGCCCTGCAGGAAGCGCCCAGGTCAATTTAAGTGCCATTACTGAGACATGGGAGTGTCTATGAGCAAAAACAGCTCAGCTACGAAGCGGTAGACCATGCATACTAAGAGCTGGGTCGCAGAGTGCTGAATTGCGTAGCACATACAAATCGCCTGTTCTCTGTTGCATCACTCACTACAGAGCTCCAAACTGCCTCTAGAAGATGTATTAGCACAAGAGCTGTGAGGGGCTGGTGCTGTTTTTTAGGCTTTCCCCTTATTTCCAGTGAAGAGTAATAGTAATGCTACAGCACACGAAGACATTTTAGACAATTATATTCCTGCAACCTTGTGGCAGCAGTTTAGGCAGCATTTTAGGGAAGGCTCTACCACACAGCATGTGTGCCCATGTGTACAAAGTGAGCTCCATAAAGATATGGTTTGACAAGTTTGGTGTGGAGGAACTCCAGTGGCCTGCACAGAGCCCTTACTTCGATTGGAATGTTGATTGTGAGCCAGGCCTTCTCGTCCAATATCAGTGTCTGACCTCACAGATGCTCTCTTGACTGAATGGACACACATTCCCACAGACACACTCCAAAATCTTGTGGAAAGCTTCCCAGAAGCGTGGAGTCTGTTACAGCTGCAAATCGAGGGGGTGGGGGGGTGGGAGTCCATATTAATATCCATGGTTTTGGAATGAGATAATAGGATGCAAGCACATATAGATGTCAGGTGTCCACATACTTTGGGCCATATAGTGTATATTAACATATGAAAAACAAAACGCATTCTACATCAGTTTTTATAAAATATATATATATATATATATATATATATATATATGTGTGTGTGTGTGTGTGTGTGTGTGTGTGTGTGTATATGTATGTGTGTGTGTGTGTGTGTGTATATGTGTATATATATATATATATGTGTATATATATGTAGATAGATAGATAGTGTAGCATAGTTTTGGGAAGGTACAGAGCTACATCCAGGGCATTGCAAGTCAAAATATTCCCCAAAAAACTCACAGGTGGTTACGGATAATAAATAAAATGGATATATTTGCATTGTAGATGTTACGGTTCCTTTTAACACCACTGCAAATAATCTCAGTTGAAAAGTTTCAAAAATTTTTTGAATTTTCCTTTAAGCGTGTGCTTTTAGGTCACTAAAGATACATCCATTCGGGTGTGTCCAAACATTTGGCTGGAATTGTAGATATGTGATATTTTGCATAAATAGCATGACTGTGCAAAGCTTAGTCATAATTACATATAAAATGTGTGATTACTTATTGTACATTTCAGTTGGTGTTATTTTAAAAGCTTTGTTGTGTCAGTATGAGACCTGGCCTGTGTACTCTGGGGCTAAAATAACTCTCCTTCTGCGCAAACACACCATGGTGTATTTTCTTTTGTGTGACTTATTGGTGTGCTTTACATCTAAAAGATTTTAATAGATGGTGAGTCAAAACAGTACTTTCTAAAATGAGATGAAATTATACCCACGCTACTTACAGAGAAGCACTTTGTTGCTGTAGTAACTTTTCTACGTAAAAATGTCATGAATATGTAAATCAGAAAAGAACAGAGCGTGACTGAGGTGTCATAACCATAAACCCAACACTCAGTCCTGACACCCCAAAGCAGGGCTTTCAAAATTTGTGAATATTGACACCAATACAGATAATTTGACTTCAGTACGGAATGTAATTTGGACAGCCAGGCTAGATTATAAAAGAAATACACTTATCGGCTCACAGAAATGTACAACATTTTTGCCTCATCCCAAATGGAGTCAGCCAGCCAAGATATGCATAGCATCTGAAATGTGTCTTTAATTTTGTAATGGAAGCTTGCACCCCACCGCTTAGTATTGTGCTAACTTCATGACTACATTATCACATACTTGGCTTGAACCATGTCGAGTTGTTAAGTAATCTTGAACAGACTTGCTTATGTGGTTTTGTAGGAAACTAATTGAGATTTTGTGAAAATACTAAGCCATAAGTCAAAGCTGTCCTCTAGAAGAACAGTTTAAGGACATTCTTACTGGACAGTCCTCACTTTGGACATATGTTATCCAGCTTAATAAGATGAAATCCTGTTTTGGGAAATATACTATATGGACAAAAGTATTGGGACACCTACACATTACACGCTTTTATGATATCCCATTATAAATCCATCAGTGTTAATACGGAGTTGGTCCCCCTTTGCAGCTCTAACAGCTTCCACTCTTCTGGGAAGCTTTCTACAAGATTTTGGATAGTGAATGTGGGAGTTCACCGGTTAATGCCCATTCAGTCTAGTTCATCCCAAAGGTGTTTGATGGGGTTGAGGTCAGGGCTCTGTGAGGGACAGTCAAACTTTACAGCTGGCACAGTGCAGTCAGGCAGGTAATGTTCTCCTGGCATTCGCCAAACCCAGACTCGTCCATCAGACTGAAGCATGATTCATCACTCCACAGAATGCTTTTCCGCTGCTCCAGAGTCCAGTGGTGGCGTACTTTACACCATTCTCCCCTGATGCTTGGCTTTGTGCTTGGTGATGTGAGGCTTACATGCAGCTGCTCGGCCATGGAAACTCATGCCATGAAGCTCCTGGTGCACAATTTTTGTGCTGCTGTTAATGCCAGAGGAGGTTTGGAACGTGTTGGTGCTGGAGACTTTTATGCCTCAGCACTCTTTGACCAGCTCTGTAACTTTTTGTGGTCTGACACTTCATGGCTGAGTTGCTGTGATTCCTAAATGATTCTACATTTCAATAATACACTCACAGTTGATCGTGGAACATCTAGGAGGGAAGAAATTTAACAAACTGACTTGTTGCAGTGGTGGTGTCCTATTACAGCACCACACCCAATTTCAGTGAGCTCTTTAGAACGACCCATTCTTTCACTACTGTGTGTAAATGCAGGCTGCATGGCTAGGTGCTTGATTTTATACACCTATGGCAATGAGACTGAATAAAACACCTGAATTCAGTGATTAAGAGGTGTGTCCCAATACCTTTGCCCATATAATATACATGCCTCCTTCCCAGGGCTTTGAACATGTTTTTGTTAAAGTGTTTTTGTTGATGTAACAAAACTGCCTTCACTCAAGCTTTGCTTACTAAAGAACTGATGAGCTCAATCAGGTGTGTTAGAGCAGGTGATGCAGAAACAAAACAGGTGGTCAGGACTAGGACTGAGAGCCACTGGCCTTAACATTGTCCCCTTTAACCATCCCAAACAACTGTCCATCTACCTGTGACTTTGATGGATAAGCTCAATCTAAAGTGAAATGAACAGGTAATTTAGCTATAGCTGAATAAGAAAAATCCCATCTCCATTTGGGCAGATTTGCTGTTTGATATTTTTTAATGTAAACTGACTTTTCCATTTTGGTCCTCTGGGAAATTTATATACAAGTATTTTATGAGACGTGTACAACCATTTCTACATCAGAAATAAATTTATTCTTCTGGAAACTTTGGTTCTTCTGTGAAAACAGGCTGGTTTTCTAACTTTACATGATTATCAGGTTTGTGGACCCAAGACATGCAGAAAACGTTACAAATGTTGTTGCAAAAATGAAAATTTAGCACTAATATCAATAAGGATACAGTGTCATTGTTATGAGACACCACTCTTATAAAAGACACAAAAAGCTACTTGAGTGGTAATAGCGCCCCCATATGGAGAATCTTCAACCTACTGAATGGAATTGAGCGAGTGAGTTACAAATTTACAAACTTTAAGGCCCCAAAATAAACAACTTTTGGACATGTTGCATTTTCTGTGGTCTTGAATTTGTTGTGGCTGTCATTCACAAACATTTGAATTCCTTCTTGTGAGAAAACGTTGTGGGAGTGAGTTTTTGGAAAGTGGACTGGCCACTAAAATACGCTTGGACGGAAAGATATTGTGCTGCCCTGCCAAATGCAAACATAATTCATAACATAATAATGTAGCAAAATCGAAATGGCCCTTCTGACTGTTTACTAACAATAATCACAAAAGAATACCACAGTTACCTCCATTGTCTAACAACTCTATTTCCCACCTTCCAGGTAAATTGGATCTGGATCTGGACTCTGAGTTTTTGCTGGTCAGCCTGGTGCAGATCTTGGGCTTCAGTAACTCTGTATGCAACCCACTGGTCTACGCCGCCCTCAACACCAACTTCAAAAGGGACATGCTTGCCCTCCTGACCCAGGGGCGGAGTCCCGGAGACGGGTGCTGCTGCAGCCTGGACTCCATCTACCTGTGGAGAGGTCGGTCCCGGGTGGGCATCTCCTCTTTGGAACCAAGGACAACTACGGAGCGGACAGAGAGACGGTCTGGGCTGCGGCCCTGGAGCAAGGTGGCCTGGGAGGCCGAACACAATGGCACACCAGAGCCGGACAGGCTCACATCCCAGTCCTTTCCTCACATGAACCTGTTCAGTGCCATCCGGCTCAATAGGAGCTCAGCCACTGTGATCCTGAGCGTTACTGACCCGCCACACGTGCGCAGCGCCTTTGACTGAGAACAGCCGCTGACTGACATTCCCAGTAGATAAAGTGGCTATAAACAATGGCTATGAGAAGCTCTCACCAGTGCTCCCAGCACTAAGGTGGGACACGACAGCAGCTCCAGGGTCAAAGATCTAATGCAAAACGACATGGAGAGAATTGTAAAAGTGTCTGATAGAGGGCAGGTGGTCTTTCATTTGACAGAATCTGTCTTTTATAATGTAGCAATTTAGCGATGTAGCCTGAGAAGAACCCTACACTCTGCGTTTGAAGTTTTGAGTCTTGGATTCACAATATTGAGCAGATCATGGCAGAGATTGCATCTACATTTTTGAACCAGGTTTTTTTTTACATCTGTCTGGTCCCAGAATAGTGTTCATGGAGCTTCATAGCCCAGCACGGAACCAGATCAAACTTGCCAATATCATACCGTGTGCCTCATCAAGTGGTTCTCAATTCTGGTCCTCGAGTGAATACTTTTGTTGTTTTTTCTGCTCAAACAGATCCCAACTCACCAGTTAGTTCTAAAGTTGAAGGAAGTGCTTTGGAACTCAACAGTGCAGGATAGGGATAAGCCAGGACCACTGACCTAGTCCAAATTAACTCCTACCTGTTTGTTTTAGTGGCAGTTGAACAGCAGTCCAAATTTCAGTGGAATTCCCCACCTTAGGTATTTTTTCCATCAGTGGATTTACTGCCAGGTGCATTAATATAATGTAACAGTGTTGAGACGGACGCACTGCTCATGTGCTGACTGTGAATTACACATTGCAAATGCCATGTAAGACATTTTAACTCCTTGTTTCTGGAGCTTAAATGTATCAAATATCCTTCACAAATGCTGCCACTTCGTCATTGTAGCCTTACTGTAGCAAAACACTATTTTGGATGCAGCTTGGATGAACTGATAGACTAGTTAGACCAGTCAAAAGCAAACCAACATCAGTGTGTTGTGTACCGTCTGGCAGTCTGTCACACTGCGTCCAGCATTGAAGCCTCAAGTCAAGTCAAAGTTTATTTATAAAGTGCTTTTTACAACAGCGTTGTCACAAAGCAGCTTTACAGGAAAAAATCCAGGTCCGAGCCCTCGTGAGCGTCGCCAAAGGTGAACAGTGGCAAAGAAAAACTCCAACAGCAAGAGGAAGAAGCTCTGAGAGGAACCAAGACTCAAAAGGGCAACCAACCTCCTCTGGTCGACACAGGATAGTCAGAAAAAATGACCAAAGTAACAGGCATGGACCTTAATTTGTGGAACTCAAAAGCCATTTAAATCAGTCACAATCTTGGTCATTGCAATATTTTGCCGTAGCCCTCAGGCCTGATTCCAAGATAAATGGAAAGAAGACTCTACTCATTTCTGAAGAATTTTAGGCAGGTACAAAATATAGCAGCTGAGCACCCTCACATGGCCGTGAGAGGTGTATCCATGTACTGAACCGGTCTGACCATTGCTCAACAAATATTATCGACATAATAGCGACTGGAGTCTTAGCTGTGAAAAAAGGTAAGGACTGACGATGTATGTGAGAATACGCTCAGTAGTTTATGTATTGTTACGGGCACTATTGTTTCTACCTCATTCTGTAAGTACCTGTTTTGAGTACTTTTGATGGCAAAAAAATAAATTCTGTAATCAGTGTGAATTCACTGCAAAGGCAGAAATTGAAGTGTATCTTTTGCTGTGGTGCTTGCAAGAAATTACAAGATGATTTAGAGAGATGTAATTTAGCGCGTCACAAGGATATCAGCGCTGACTCAAGAACATAATTTTGTTTGTCACCAAATTACATGCTGTGCAGACGAAACTAAATGTCTTGTTAGTTCCTCAGAGATACAGGAGAGCACATATGATTAAGGAAAGATATTTCACAAAAGCTGGACAGCAAGGTCATACTGAAGGACTGTTGGATGGATGTTTTTTGGGTGGTGGACTGGTCTCAACCTAAAAAAAAACATGTCATAATGGTCAGTGCCACCAGCCAAATAATATCTGGGCACCAGCGCTCCTCTGGTCAGAAACTGACCATTTAATGAATGGGATAGAGGGGAACTAACAAACTGTGGGGCAACAGATGAACTACATTATGTTTTAAATTTGAATTGAATTGAGTTATTGCTGTGGTTTTTCTTACTTTCTATCCAAATCTGTTGATGCAGAATGAAATGTAATCTGTTGCCTGTCTAATTATGTAAATACATAATTACATTTAAACAACAATGTAAATGGTAAAACACTAGAGCAGAGGTGCTCAATCCTGGTCCTGGAGATCTACCACCCTGGAGAGTTCAGAGCCAACACACCTGGCTCTTAACATTCAGGTAATAAGTTATTATATGATTTATTTATTATTTTTTTTTTTATTTATTTAATCTGTTAATTCTGACAAAGGATATATGCTAAAGGTAGCAATGACAATAGGTACAACATATATATATTGCTTTGGACATAATGGTACATAGTGTTATGTCAATCCAAACCAACATATATTGTTTTGGATTGACATTGATGTTTAGGCGGTAAAATCTAAAATCATTGTTGGCTGTATGTATGACTTTAAGGCCCCAAAATAAATATATTTTGGACATGTTGAATTTGTTGTGGCTGTCATTCACAAACATTTGAATTTCATCTCGTGAGAAAACGTTGTGGGAGTGAGTTTTTGGAAAGTGGACTGGCCACTAAAATGCGCTTGGATGGAAAGATATTGTGCTGCCCTGCCAAATGCAAACATAATTCATAACATAATAATGTAGCAAAATCGAAATGGCCCTTCTGACTGTTTACTAACAATAATCACAAAAGAATACCACAGTTACCTCCATTGTCTAACAACTCTATTTCCCACCTTCCAGGTAAATTGGATCTGGACCTGGACTCTGAGTTTTTGCTGGTCAGCCTGGTGCAGATCTTGGGCTTCAGTAACTCTGTATGCTAGATTAGGGTGGGAGATAAACTCTACAGGGTGGTACATTTCAAGGACCAGGATTGGGCACAGCTGCACTAGAGTTTAGTCTTCTGAGGCTAGACTTCTTAGCCTCTTAAACTCTTAAATATTATTATTAAGTAATAATGTGGAAAATAAGGTGAACTCTCTTTGGGGAAAAACAGTTCTTCTTAAAATAGAATGGAGGAATATCAGTCTGAAACTGATGCCAGTGGATTTTAAGTTATAAAAAGTGTGACCTAAAATCAAACATCCCTAAAAAGCAGGGAGTAGCATCTCTTTACTTTGCACCTTGCAAAGAAATAACAGTATACTAATTTGCATCTATTAAGCCATTTATTAAGCAGTTTGGAGGAATCACCTTTTTGAAAACCTAGCTAACAATGCAGTGGTTTCCAGATTCACTAGTGTTCTGTTGCATCCCCTCTCTCCTTCTGCACCTCCTCCGATTTTCTGCCATCATCTCAAGGAGGTGGTGGTGGTTCCTTTCAAGAGCTCCTCTCTGCGTGCTGTGTGATTGAGAGTGGGAGTGGTTTTTCCTTTGTCTGCCGCAGATCCTACAGCATGAACCATCAACAAGACAGGGCTCCTGCGTAGAGTGACCCAAACCTGGAGTCTCCTGATTGGGCGCACACTGGTGAGGAGGGTCCTGAAGAGGTTCCTGTGCGTCTTGTTGGAGTTGATGGCTTGAACTGGCCGTTGCAGGGTACTGAAGAGAATCCCACGCTTGTGTTTTCGATGCGAGTGGGGCGGGGGTGAATCCCTTGTCCTGTTGCGGTGCTGATTCGTTCACAATCAGGTCATGATGCAGCTGTTGCGCAATCTGCTCCTTCACTGAGGGACTCTGTTTGATGGGAGCACACAAAGTGTCCTCGTTGAATGGGCACTCGTTGTTGCACATCATGCTTGTTCCTTGATCTTTAAGCACCTTCCCTTGTGGACATTTGATCTCGACGACTATTATAGCATGGCTCACAGGGTCGACGGTCCTCAAACTGCTTGTGGTAAATTGCATGCTCTCCTTCTCTTTTTCTGGCTTTCTCGGAGCATGAGAGTTCCTCTGGCTCAATTGCGGTTCTTCAACCTCTCCATTTATGCTTGTGACCTGTTGTGAACCAGCACTGGAACTGCCACTTTCAGGAGCCCCTGTGTCCTGTATCCACCTTTGCGAAGATCTCCCTACCATGGGTTGGGCCCCCTCACAGAGCTCTGCTGTGGGACTGGGCTTCCTCCTCCTTCTGGGCTGGGCCTTCTCTCGGAGCTCCTCCCTGAGAGTATGTGTCCTCTGCAGCCTTGCCTGCCGCTGCTCTTCCATCCTCCTGGCCTTGCGCCGCTGTCTCTCACGGAAGCGCACCAGCTTGCGGGCATTGTCCAGTGGAATCCCTGAGAGCTGGACAAGCTGCCTCACCGTGCAGCGGTTCAAGTCGAACGCCCCGCTCTTCCGCACCATATTGGCTGCTCCCGGACAACGAGGGTGGGGGAAGAAACAGAGAACAGTCTCTCCCACACTTCTGTGAAGAGGGTGGTTACTGGAGAGAGCTCTGTTACTTCAGCCTGTAGAACTGCATTATGAGGTCATCATTATGACTTCTTAGAATGCCACCTCATACATAAGGTCACGACACACTGACCCAGCAGAACCAAACACCAATATTCTGATGCTGACAGACGACTTACACAGTTCCCTAATAAGAACCGATGAACCAAACGAACTAGTGTGAATGGAGCAGAACATTCTAGTCATTTCATGAATTGTGTTCACATCCATGGACTTTTGACAGGAGGCCAATTTCTTTGGTAAATTAAATGTAGAATAATAATAAGACGAGTGACCTGAATATAACTTCACTGTAACCATTATCATGACTGTTTCCTGAACTGCTGACACTCTCAATACGACTGACCATGAAAGGAATTCAGCAGTTGTCTCTGGTATATTAGTCCAAACTTTACAATTAAAAAAGTCAGTTAATGTTACTTTTTATTTTTTTGAGTTACCTCTGAAACCAGCTGCCCACATGCAACAACTGCCCTAACTGCATAAAATACTATTTGTTGGCCAATTTATTATAAACACCTTGTACTTCCACTCACTGGCCACTTTATTAGAAACACCAGCATTATTGTCCACTACATAGGTTATTGTATGATTACATCTGCTGCTGTACAGTTTACCAGGCTGCCACTTTTAGCTGATGATTGATTGCTGTACTATCAGGCTGCCACCTTTTAGCTGATGATTGATTGCTGTATAAATAATTGCAATTAACAATTTAATTGTTCTTTTGTTGAAAGACACTAAAATTGTGTAGAAATTCAAGTCTAAAGGCCATGGGGCCAGATGTCTTGCTCAAACCAAGCGATGATGTTGGAATGTAAACCCGATATAAACAAATGATGTTGAATGAACTTGTAAAAAGTGCAGTATGTAATAATTGTGACAGGACTAGATATTATCATTTAACATTATTTTACTCTGCTGGTGCACAATGACTGTCAAAAATCAGAAGACATGGGTCTTTGAGGGATGATTTTGATGGAAGAGGACAAAAGACAAACACGTCTTCTGAATGATGCAGTGAAAACTTGACTTGAACAGTAGCTCAAAACAAGGTGTTCCCTTCAACTTGGATCCAGAGCCATCAAATATACAGTGCACGTTGACAAGCTCTCACACTGGACTTTGAGGAGCTTTTACTGGTCACATTTAGAAACAACACAAAACGTAGTATGAATCTTTTATTTTTTAAAAAAATCTACAAATACATTTGCAACAGCAAACATAAATCCATTATTGAGCAAACAATCTAAGGGGAAAAAAAGGATTAATTTCTAAACAGAGCTAAAGGTGGATGAGCTAGTGCAGAGAGAAAAACATTAAATGAGAAGGCTGAAGTTCTGGGACGTAATTTATACGAGAAAAGAGTTCACGGTGAGCTCATCTGTAGAACACTGATGTGTTCTGGTGTGGAGCAAACTACGCAGAATGTGCAAAAGAGAGAGATTCAGTAGAAGGGAGAGGACTGAATAAAAAGCAAAAGAAACAGGTCCCTTGAAACTGATGCAGGTATCTTTTCTCCTGTCATTTCACTCTTGGTCACTAGGTGGCAGTGCCTGCACTGTATTTGAATCGCGCCGAGTGCCTTTTGTTTTTGCGCTGGTCTGGTTTCTTTAGGCATATTGCAAAACCATGTGTTTAAAAAAAAAAAAAAAACCTATATAGACAGGATCTGCCTCACAACTGAAAATAAAATGAGGATCAATCCATACAGCCATAACAACAACACTAGAGTCATATAGCTGAGTCAAAAAGCAAAGATCATTTACAGCATCAGTCAAAAGTTTGGACAATCACAAGCACAATCCTGACGACATTCTGAGCTGATGGTCAGATTTCATTTATTTAAACACGCTTAGTGGGATGCATGTCTTCAAGCCAATCAGGTGTTGGAGCCTAAATATCTGTATTGGCTAAAAGGCCAATATTTCTGATTTTCATTTCTCAATTTTGTAAAACTGTAATACTAAACAAAGAAAAATCCCTTCCATGATCAACTTTTGACTGATATTGTACTGCTATCCAGATGAGCCAATAGGGGCCTAACCTATGTCAACATAACTCTATAAATTATTCTGTCAATCAATTTGTTCCTTCAGTTTGTTCAGTTGACTATACTTCATTTTGTTTAATAAGTGTTTCTATAAATATACAATAAATCTATCTTTGTCCTAACAGGGCTTCACTATCTGACTATGTACAACTGAGGCTGAGAACAAATTTGGACGTATGAAGCTTTCCTTCATCTTTCCATGAGAACCCTGAAGAACACGAACACGAACGTACCAGTGCACGGCAGCACATCCATCTTGTAGCGGTTAGCAGGAGATGGCGAGGCCAGCGAGGCCTCCCGAGATCTGTTCTGAAGCAGGAGGTGGTGGGGAAGCTGGACACGGCATTCTGTTTCTCATCCTCAGACGATGAGCCTAGTGATGCTGGCATGTCCTTGTTTAATAAAGGGGATGCACTTTGTGCTCATGATAAGCGTTATGAACAGAGCTCATCCATCGTGAGCGACGCGAGGTGTCTGCTAAGAAATGTGGAGCTCCAGAGAAAGAGAGCTTTAAGCCGAATGAAGCTTTGGCGTCTTGAAATGAGCCACAAAGCCCCACACGCTCTCGGTCACATCGCAAACTTAACGAAAAGTATTGTTAAGAGGTATAAATAATTATACGCAATCGCGTTACGGCAATAAATACGTCACGTCTTTATATAAATAAGGAAATGGAAGAAGCCGACGGCTGGGAGGACACTGAGGGGTGTATATGTAACATCACCAACGCAGTCGCTCAGCCAAGCAGACACAAAATTCGCTCTGAATGAGAAAACGAAACCTTTCATGAGGCGGCAGAACAGTGTGCTGTTCGGAAAGGCTCACGTCAGCCGAGAAAGTGTTTGTCGTAACGCTGCTGAGCTATGAGGAGCAGCAGAACCTGCCCTAGAGCTCTCGACATTTCCTTAGCAAATACAGTATGTTAGTTATTGTAGCAGTGAAACTGACTGTATCACCGTTTCAACTAAAGTCGCTGTCTTTGCTGTTTAAGCTTATGGCAGACAGTCTGCCAGCTCTCGCAAATCTTTATACTTTTTCTTTAATTTTTTTGTCCCCATTTTAACTTTAAAGCATCCAAAGTCAACAATCAACTACCAAGAGAAAACCTGACTCAGCTTTGCATGTAGTGTAGGCTGGGGCTTCAACTACCTGTAGTTTCAACCATCAATGTGCACAAAACTTGCCAATATGTAGTCAAAACGCAATAAAAAGGCTTAGGCCGCTGGCCCACATTGATACAGCTACGTTTGGCATAACCAAAGGCATACTGAAATCTCTACGTAGGCTTCAGACCAACCTGTAGTTTAAAAAGCCTGTGGCCAGTGCATTGCTTGAGGCAAAGCCAGCCCGGTTTAGGGTGGAGCTACATAAAAGCCGCCCCGTTATCCGGCGCTGGTCTTCGCCAAGTCCAGTGTTGGCTTTTAAAGCCGCTTGTGGTTGCTAAAGCCTGTTTGGCTAGAAACGTCAGTCCATGTCTGGCCAATAGGCCGGGGAGGGAGGGAGCCAAGCTAAAAATGAGTCTGGTTCCACTCCCCTATTTCAAATCCAGTCTCTTAATACCACTTTCTTCTCCTCGTCATGGTTTTACCCTTTTCACGAGTTCGTAAGAATGCCGTTCCGACTGAACATCTTCACTCGTACTTGTAGTAGCCCCGATCCACGGCTCTGGAGGCGATCTGCTCGGCAGTGTAGCGCTGGTCCAGCTCCAACAGGGCTTGCAGCAGGTCGTTGATGTTGGCCCGGAGGCCCTCCCGCTGCATCCAGATGCGCAGCAGCTCGTAGACCTTGTCTCCAGCGTTCTGCGACTCGGCCAGCTTGATGGCGTTGTCGCTCAGGCCGATGCTGCGGAAGAATTTGTTGTGCATGCGCATGTCCAGCGAGTCGAACAAGTCGAAGCTCTTGCTCAGAGACGTCTCGTTGTCTGAGGAAAGGCAAGAGCAGGGAGACACGTCAGTCACATTCATCCAACACTTACTAAATATAATACATATAAAAACAATACATAACAAAAATATACAGGTTAATCAACAAGAGAAGAACTATGCTTGCTTTTCTTTCCACGTGACAAAAAAATGAGTAAAATTAATGAAATAGAATTAAATATCAAGGTTCCTAAAACAGCCATGTTTGCCAGACTTGCTATGAGCTCTCCAGCGTATCCTCGATGAGTGATGCTGGTTGACAGCATTTGTAGATGTTACTTACCATGTAATGGGACAAGCTTTCTGGGAGGGCAGTCGTCCTGTGAAAGAAGGACAATATTAGCTTTTTCGTCTTGAAAAGATCACAGTGTTGAAAGGGTTTGCTGACTTTACTATGACTCATCATTAGCACTTCTTCTGAATTATTACTGGCTCAGAGAATGTTGAGTTCCTGACAATCAATCAAGTTTGAACAAGCAAACTGCATGTCTCTACCTACGCTAATCTAAAGCACAGCCCTGCCCAACCCTGCTTCTGTAAAAACACTTATGTAATACGCCTGATCCAGATAATCAAGGTCTTCAGGAATGTCTGAATGTTGTCCAGAGGTGTGGACTAAATTCTACAGATCTGCACGACAAGATCAGGCAAGATCACGGCTATGACTCACCTATAATGAGAATTTACTACAATACAGTCCATTGTGATTATATTGTAACACACCTGAACACTTTTTTGGTCAATGCATAATTCCATGAGTTATTTCACAGTTTTAATGTCTTCACTATTATTCTAAAATGTGGAATAAAATAAATAAATAATATATATTTTATTTATTTTTTTTTTAATCTAAAATTAGTCCTAACCTGGTCATATTATTTTTTTAATCATAAATATATTAACAAGTTAATGTAAACACCCTCTACAGAGAACAGTTGCTGACTTGCAGGGTTGGGGGAAAACAAAAACAAACAAACAAAAATTCAATTGCGTTAAAGTCAGCAAATAAAGAGAAAAATCTCTTCCTAGAACTTGCTCTAAAACACAAAAATCTGCAGAAAAATGTCATATTTAAGTGTGTTCTCTGACGTCTTAACTTATTTTTACATAGAAAATCAACAAAACGTTGTTTGGATAGGGTGCCCAAACTTTTGCATACGTCTGTATATAGTGGGGTTTATTATGTGACCATAAAACCTTGTTCACTATCCTCTGTGTCTAAACTCATATACTTAGCTGCACTTAGCTGCATCAAGCTATGGTAGGTTTGTGTCTCTTAGGTTATACGTTCGTATAAGTCACTATGAATGAGAGCGTCGGCTACATGACTACATATAAATGCATAATTTGCTGTCAATGCATTTCATAGATTGCTGTGTCCAAACTTTTGCCTCATACTGTAGTTTTAGATGCTGCGCAGGGACGCTATACTGACCCTTGCCCACGTCTCTGGCTCTCGTTCCCCGTTCAGCGTCGGCCTCTGTGTGCGGGGGCTGTGGCGGGGGGATTCACCCACAGAGGGCACTGTGATGGGCAGTGCAGACAGGCTGGTCTGGGAAGAGCTGGTGGTGTTGGGCAGGCTATCGCCCAGTCCCCGGTCCTCGTCTTCCACCGGCATGCTTTTAGTGCTCAGTCCCTGAGTTTCCTGGAGCAGGGGGCGGGACTCTGGGCGGGGTTCCTCCGCTTCCTCTAAATCCGCGTTGCGGCAGTTCTCCTTCTCCTCCACAGAGGGGGCACACACTCCGTCCTGAGCGACAAGTAGGGCGATGTCAATCATGGTTTAACATAAAAGCTCAGTGTCCATTATAAGATGTTCAGCTATCTATGCTATGTTGGTGTTACGAAATGAGCCAAGTGACTTACTATCGGGATCTTGACCTCATCATTCGGAGCAACTGGGCTCCCTGAAAAAGAGAAAATAATGTTAATAAATAATTAATTATCATAAATATCGCAGTTAAATTTTATATAGGAGCTGGGTTTAAACACTTTATTTGCTAAAACAACCATAAGACAAATTTGTGCAAATAAGTCGTCATAATATGTATCATAAGTTTGAGGGGGAAGAAAAAAAACAAAACAAAAAAAAAACACAGTGGTTTTTGATCTTTGAGTTGCAGCACCCCTGGTGGGCTGTGACGGTAATGCATTTATTCATTTTTATGCAAAGCATTACAATGCAAAGACAAAAACCAAACCAGTAATTGTGTATATGACAAATAATAATGTTGTGGTATTTATTTAAATCAAATATTAAAAGATCTAAATATACAGGTTGAGTGCAGTACAAAATGCATAACATAACCAGCTAGAAAAGTTTTCTCTGGAGTTTATGATGTGTGCTTATACATATATATGTGAAGTTCAACAGGCTATACTGGTTATTATATTATTTTGCTTGCAGCTTATGAAAGGTTGGGAACTCCATCCTAACATACATATATATATATATATATATATATACACACACACCTATATATATTACAGCAGTTTAAATGTACCTTGTCTTCCACATGAAGGCTTCTTCTTCCAAAACCAGACTGCTGCAGCCACCACAGCAACAACAATGATGATTAAGAAAAATACAAGCACTGCCAAAAAACAGAAACAAAACACGTTTACATCCACATATAATTTGTTATTGCTGTCAGAACAAAACCATTTTTTTTTCAAATCCATTTTTGTCGTTTTGCAGTGTGTAACAAAATTGGGAAAATGCTTGTTGCCCTTTACATTGTGTGTAATTTTTATGATGAATGAACCAAAAGAAACGGCCCAGAATGACTTGGAAAGACATCTGGTTCCATTGACCTACAATAAATGTAAAGTAGGTTTTTTCCCTCTCCTGTAAAGTTACCATTTTGGAGATACAAGGTTTTGTTCTGATGACAGCAAAATGCATCTGTTTACCCTTATGACGCAGCAGATTTAGGGACAAGTGCAGATTCAATGCGTGCGATACTGTACACGAGTGTCTTTATGCCGTATGAAGATCTGTAGGAGCGTTTGACCGTACCTACTGTAACCGTATTACTCTTCGAAGGTTCAGATGGCAGTGTGGGTCTGACGGTGGGGTCGTAGGGCGAAGGAGGGCGTTTCCTGCACTTGGTGTTGGAGGTGGGTGTGCACTTATGCTCCTCGATTTCGTCCGCCTTACACCTGCAAAGCGAGAGCCAAAAAGCAGACAATAGTGAGGCCTTTAAAACCAGAAAGGAGTTACAAAAGCAGAGCAGCCTTATTGTTAGGACAGACAATGGAGATGTTCCATAGCTGCTCTCTTGGGTAAGAGGGAGGGATTAGATGGAGAACCTGACTAATAGATCTGAGTCATAGTTATAAGGAGTGAAGGTTTTGAGGCCGAACAACAGGTACAAACGTATCACATCTCCACTGAGGAAAAAGGATTTATGGGTTCCTCTGAACTAGCTGATAGGGTTCACCTTAAGGAGCCAAATTGAAATTGGCTTAATATGGTGGGCATTAATGTTTCTACTAGCTCACTCATACACTACATACCAGACATACATCAAGTCTTATGCAAAAGTTTGGTCAAACCCAGTCAGAATACATTTCCTTGAGGTTCCTCTACATGAAATAAGCAAATATCCTGTTTTTCTGCAGATGTTAATGCACAATTTCCATTTCTATTTTATTTCTAGTTCTATTTTATCTGCAGCGATTGAGGCAGGCAGTTAGCACCATGCTCACTGGTAGGGTGTAAACATCCATAACTTGTTAGTCACATTAGACTTCAGTCCAGAACTAAATAAGCAAACTTAAGACAACAAACATGTCCTGGATAATCAACTACTAATCAATCCCCATCTTAATAGGTCTGCATTCCCACCCACATTTATTCCTGAACTTCTAAGCTGCACTCAGATGTTTTTCAACATGTAACAACATCATGTCTGGCCTTGCAGGAGGCATAAGAGAGGCCTGGAACTGAGGAACTGAGGAACTCTGGAGCTCACCTGGTGCATTTCTTGCACACTTCGCAGGGCTCGTCAGGCAGGCAGAAGAGACCAGACTTGCACTCGCACTGAGTGTTCCTACTGCTCGTACATGGCTGCGTCTCGTTCTGGTCTGTGGGAGGGAGAAGAAAGGGGAGGGTGAAGAGGGGCCGTGGGATCAAGAGAGAGAAGAAGTCAGGCCTCAGTTTTGAAGCTAAATCAGATCTACAGGCTTGGGCACCTAAGAACACCGTTTAAAACCATTTATCTTGGCAGTGAGTTTGTGCTTGTAAAATTACCATACTTTTAGAGTAAATGCAAATAAATAATTACTAAAAATAACAAGACATTCTAAAAACTTTGCTTCTACTGGCTCCATAATGCTACAGTGCTTGGACCCCGAAGATTGCCACTTGCAATGTAATTTCTAGACGGTTCCACATGAACTGCAAACGCAAACTAAATGGTAGCTGGTTGACAACGGAAATTTAATCACAGTAACCTTTTTTTAACACATCAGTTGAAACAACTCGCCAAAAAAATGTGAATATATGGAAATAGTTTCAGTAATATATCTTACTTCTGATTGTCCTAAATTAAAAAAAAAAAACGCTTTAGATCTATATGATTCACAATTAGCACTGAAAACACTGAAAGGCAGTGAGCTTGCATGTTTGGTATGTATTCTAATAATAGTGTTTTCCTGAGCAAATTAACAGCTACCTCCTAGAGAAATAGCTTTTTAGCTCTAATTTTCTCGGCTGTCCAACACAATGAGATGCTGATTTTAATTGCCAACAAAGTCCTGATCCGCACACCTTGATGAATCAGCAACAACGTTCATAATGAGGCCTGAAACCCAAACGAGAAAATAATCCTGCGCAACACACCCTGCAACTTTCTCATCCACTCATATACACGCATACAAAAGGCCACAAAAAGAGCACAGGAGATAGCCACACCCTGACCGTGTAACCCTAGCAGATCAGATTCCCATGAGTGAGGCCTCCACCAGAGGAAACTCTAAACTCAGGCCTATTCAGCATCTCTTCCCTGTCCTTTCGCTCCAGCGTCCATGGGAATCCTATGACGCTCCTGTGGGAGAAGCGCTTGTCTAAGCTGACGGGCAGTGGCGTGTTTATAAGAGCGCGCGTTGTTTACAGCAGAGTCGGGCCTCGAACACGCAATCCGGAGGGAAAAGCAGAGAGATTCGCATTCAGACTACGAACACAGAGCGCTCTCATAATAAACATAGCCCGGACGGATGGCCTCCGCTTCATAACAACCAGAAAGAGCCGGAGAGTGAGAGTGGAATGCTAGACGTAATAGGAATTATGATGCAGAGTTAAATGACCATTTCTTTACTTAAATTAGCTCTCGCTACGTTAAATAAGAAAACACAGCCCTTTAGTCATTCAAATATGTACCACTAACTCAACAACTGGCTCTGTACATGGTTACATCAACGCTTTCAGAGCATGCTGAGTGGCATTAGTCATTTTAGGCTATACAGACTTTTAAGACATTCCACTTAGGGGGTGGGGGGTCCAGTTTGTTGCTGGAAAACTAATCTATTACATCAGCATTGTTTTTTGTCCATTTAGCGTTTCCAAACACCATTTACAACCACAGTAATAGTAATAATATAGTCTTACTATGTAATAATATAATCACTACGTATGACTTTCAGCACCATCTGTGTTCTCATTATGTATGTAGTTTTGGAAGACCGCTAAAGAACTACATTACCCATGTGACATCTGACTACAAAGTACACCAATGAAAATGTACATTACCCATATATCACCACCTGTACCCTTAAATTTGAGGTTTTGGGTGTCTGTTAAAAAAACTACATTACCCATGTGGCACCACCTGTAACCTTGGATTATACATGTTTTTGAAAGATCACTGAAAAACTACGTTACCCATCTTGCATCACCTGTACCCTTTGATTTAGGGTTTTAGGTGTCTGTTGAAAAAACTACATTGCCCATGTGGCACCACCTGTAGCCTTGGCTTATTTGTGACGTTTCTGGAAGGCCACTGAAAAGCCACATCGCTCACGTGACACCACCTGTGTTATCTGATTATATATAAGGTTTTGGGGGACCAGTGAAAAACTATGTTACCCATGTGGCATCACCTGTAACCTCTGATTAGAACGTAAACAAATACCAAAAAAATTATATGACCCATGCGGCACCACCTTTATCATTTGCTTATAAGTGAGGTTTTGGGAGACCATTGAACAGCTATGCTACCCCTGCGTCACCATCCGTAGCCTCTCATTACTACACAGTATATGAAGCTTTCTACGATTGGAAAAAACTACATTACCCATGTGGCACTGGCTGCACTGAAGGCACTGCTCCATGCCGGTTGGATGCTCTGCGTAGGTGCCCGGCTCACATACAGCACATTTGCCTTGCTGCTGATCTGCGCTGCACTTCTCCTTCACGTAGGTGCCTGTTAAAGGAACATGCTCTGATTACATCTTAAACTCTGCGTCCAAACTCTCATAACTACAGAACTTGCAAATTACACAGTAGCTACTGAGTAATTCAGAGTAAAATAGCCAAAAGTACAGAAAGTATGGGTTTCTGGATGGCTGCTGCACTGGTTTTAGCTAAGCTAATGTGCATTAGTTCTTATTTCTAGATAACAGTAGATCATACAGTGTCAGAAACCATAATCAAGTCTATTAGAGATACTGAACAATTCCACACAGTTCGAGGTGAGTGCATGGTGATTTAGACATGCAATGAGGCACATTAGCTTCGCAGCTGCAGTGCAAAACTATAAAAAGTTTGACATTCCATTTGGGGGAAAAAAAAGTGATATATTAAACGTAACAAATATTGCAGTAGAGCTAAACGTTATAGAACGCTCCTTTAGCGCTGGAGTAAACGGGGCCACATTTGTTCTATTAATGGCATTTCTTTCTGCACTCCTGAACAATGCACTGAGGCTTAATGTGACCCTCTGTGCTCCAAAAACACTAAACGCTGGTATCCAGTTACTGCTGCTTTGTCTCACTTCATTCTGCCTTCCTATTCATGTCCAAAATAACACACGAACTCACTACGATGGGGGAAAATGGGTGCTTCAGTGTCTTCTCATCCTATCAGCTTTAAAACCATGTGCAGTGTTTACTCTGGGAGTGCTGATAAAGAAGAGCGCAATCATTCTTAATGAGCTTTCAAAAAACGGTACAGTGGAATTTATTAATTTGGAAGGTCATTTCTGGGTTGTTTACAACTGACTGAAACCACATATTCTTCTGGTTTTAATGGACTGTAGCTTCTTGATGATAGTAAATCCTTAAAAACAGTGGATGAGTGAGACTAGTTTCAGCTTCTAAATCAAATGCAGAAGCCAAATCAGTCCCTGGGGCAAGTTTTAGGAGTCTAAGCACAAAGATCGTCACTAGAATGGCTGGTATTAATGGCAGCTTTGCAACAAATCCATCTTGAAAGGTTGGTTTGTGCCAGACATCCAGTTTTACAGTCTGGCAGTAAGTTTTTTGGAGCATGCCATGGCCAGGCTTCACACAGCAACAGTCTGTAACTGGTCAGATGCTTTTCGTTAAAGATCTTGACCTGTGAAGCAATTATTTTATACTTATTATTTTATAATTATTAGAGCTCAACTGATATGAAAACTGTGGCCGATGCCACTTTAAAGACGCTGAAAACCTTTGTTTTTGTTACGGCTCCTTTAAGACTGATATATAAATGAGCTCTGCTCTGATTGGCTGCCCTGTATCGTGTCTCATTCCAAAAAGCAATCGAGGCTGAAACACTCCTTATAACTTGCGGGTGCGTGGACGGGGCTAAACTACCATAGGCTGAGGTGCATATATGTAAATGAGGTGTTTTTCATAAAACTGAAGAATTAGGGGAGGGTGATAATAAATAATTGCCCCCCTCTATGAAGATCATATAATTCCCTAAATGTAACTAAAGCCCAGCAGTGAGGAGCTGAACTTTACCCTCCTCTGCTGTCACTGCAGACTGGCAGGGTCGCCTACAGAGCAGCGCTGGTAGCTGTTAATGAAGTGATGCTCTTTTTATTTGAGGGTCCCATTTCAGAGGGAAGATTTCAACCACTACCCTGTAACTCAGTTCCAAGGGGCGAGGAGGCGCTCGAAAACAAGGGGTAGGAGTAAAAATAAGAAATGTGATTGGGCCCTTACTCTCTGGGAACACTCTGGGACCCCTCTCATTCTTTTCTGCCTCAGTGCATCAGAGATTTGTCATTAAAAAAAGTAAAATCTGAAACGCTTTGCAGAATTCGGGCTGTGATCTGATCTATCCATCTCTGTAGTTTCTCCGACACTTACCAGCCTCGCAGTTCTTGCAGCAGAAGCCCATGTGTGGGTACTCCTGGTTTTCCAGGCACGCTTGCTGCCGGGCTGTCCGATTCTGCAACGGTTCTCCGGACGTTCCCCTGCTCACCACAATCAGCAGCAGCATGATGAGAAGCACCTGGAGAGAGAGAGAGAGAGCAGATCCATTTAAGTTAATTCAGTAAACTTATTCCAGAGTCTAAGGCCATAAAACAGAACTAAACCAACCAATAAAAATAATAAGGAAATAAAAGCTGGAGGAGGAGTGAGAGAGTCAGTCTATCCACACAGCTCTGAACGTGTGCAGGATCAGCACAGGCCGAGATGCTGGGTGCTCAGGTACTTTCACAAACTCAATAAAACAGTTTAATCAGAACAAGAGGAACTGTCTGAACATGCCGACACAAGGAGGCATAAAGTCTTCGCTTCTCTCTTTCCTCTCTAGCAGAGGTGAACTGCTCACAAAGTCCGATTCATATTTATTACAGCCAAATTGGCCGACTGATGATTTGTTTAGTCAAATCTTATAAGCCAAAGTGACAATATAAATACCGTTATTTGCTCTTAAATGAAAAATCAGCTGAAATGAATCATATCAAAAGTAAGAGGCGACTGACTATTCAGCACAATGAGACTATGTGTACTAACATTGTTCCGGTGTGGTTCTGATTAATGTTCTAATGGTGTTTATTAGAACTATTACTATTGTTATATATATATATATGTCCCATATTTGAAAACGGCCAATTTTAGATAAGCTGGCATATTTTATGAGTTTGGTATAAGTGACATCTATTTATGCCAATTTATGTCACTTATATGGATTTCAAATATTGCCATATATCAGATTTTTGTATGGGTATGTCTGTACATAGCACTGCAGGAGTTACTTGCAAAGAGTTTTCTTGCTACTGCCACCTGTAGGTGTTAAATGAGTACTGCATCCACACTGATTAAACTATAGCAATAGGTATGAATACACAGACAAGATAGTGTTGGGTGATATTTAGCTGGTTCAGTATTGTAGAATTTAGCCAAAAAAAAAAAAAAAGTTTACTGACTGTCAAACATGATTAAATAATTTCCTTTGTAGTGAATTTTGTGATTATTTAACAGAGAGAGAGAGACAGACAGACCGACAGAGAGAAAGTAGGGCTGAATGATTGTTTTTATATCACAAACACATTTTCAAAGAAAGCAATTTTCAAACTCCAGTTGCAATTTTAATCATATCCTACATCATTCAAAGTCAAAACGCAAAGCTTATGAACTGACAGACAGACAGACAGACAGACTAACAGACAGACAAGTGGACGGACAGACTGAGAGGCAGATATCAAATGCAAAACTGTGAGAACTGCAGTATCACCGCAGCTCTACTCATCCATCTCTCGTCTCTCTTCTCCCTCCCTCACTCACACACAAAGTTCTTTGTCTGTTTTTCAGACGTGCGGAGGCTCACGGGGACAGCAGAGGAGCGGTCAGCTTTTCTCTTAGTGGACCTCGTGTGAGCATTCTGCCCTTTAATTCGAACCATCTGATGAGAGCAGCTGCAGAGCAAAGCAAATTAGCAGAGACTCTCCTGTAGCCGGGCAAAACAGAACCAAAACTCGTACGGGGCGCGGGGTTACCATGGTCACACACGCCCCCGCGCACACATGCACATGCACACATACTCCGCTGATATGGAGTGGGGTCCTTGGCAACTGTATCTGAGGCATTTCTGAGGAGTTCAAAGACATTCAGAAACGCTTCACATGGGCCTACTGACTATAGCTTTAATGAAAAAAGACGAGAGATCGCCCAACAGCGGCCAAACGGCCCCACAAGTCCAACCCAGCAACGACTTCATGCTTTTGGAGCAAAGAACAGTTTGGTGTAAAATCTAATTCACAGTTTTCTCCCATTACACCAAATCTAATCTACCAAAGACATGTTTGGTGTCTGAAGTCTGCTTCTTTGGAATTGCCCTGGAGCCATGAGGCTAATGTAGCTCATACTCCACCAATTAGTATGGTGCTAACTGAATGCCTCAGTTATGACCCTCCCGTATCAAACTGTGTGGACAAACGTGGACAAAAAAATACTTCGCTAAAAACAGCAGCAGCCGTCTGTCAATTTATCACTATCACAATAAATATCATTATACCGCGCGCCAGCCTTGGGCCTTAAATGACATCAAATATGGCTATAACTAACTTATAGAAGGGCTGATATTCTAATTTATGGTTAGTTCAAAACTGGATACAAAAGATTGCAATTAATTATAAGCTGTATACTTAAAAAAGATGGTTCTTCAAGGGTTCTTTAGTAAAGAAAATGGTCCTATGTAGAACTAAGAACACTCAAATGACCCTTTGCATGATTAAAGGGTTCTTTAGATTGATAATGTGCTGTAGATGGTTCTATGTAGAAACTTTTTGAAAAGGGTTCTATACAGCACCAAAAAGGGTTTTTCTATTAACAAGAACCCATTTTGGTGCTGCAGTACATTCTATATCAATTTGAAGAACTCTTTTGTCATGCAAGGAGCTCTTTAAGTGGTGTTTCATCACGAGAAATCTGAGAAAATATACTGGCGAAATTCAGTGACACACTGATTTTAGGTTCTAACAGAATGTGAAGGCTGTGCTCGTATTTGAACGTGAGCGCCTTAACACGAGGGCTTTACCAGCTGTTAAGGACGTGGCTGAAAAGGCAGAGTTAGGGTGGATTTTATTGCTAACTACGCTAGCTAATGTTTGGTTCAGAAACAGTAAAGTATATTTCCATGACAAACTAACATGTTGGCACGTCGTCCACCAAAGAGGAAGAACACCTGTATAAGACGACGAGTCTCCAACAGCATCCAGTGTTGCAGCGGTTAGCTGTAGTGTTAGCTCATCTGAAGAGGCAGCCTCGGTTATGTTACTCATCGAACCCAAAAACTACCAATTTCCCCTTGTCTATTTTCACATAATACAAAACAAAGCCTACAGCTCTACATTCATTTCAGCATTTCTGAAATCTTTTTTTTCCCCTTTATTCACAGTTAGCCTGTAGTTTCCACCTGTTCAGGATTCCCCTGGACTGTCCAGGAAAAATAAAAACTCCATTTCAGGACATTCAAGCATTCTCTTGTGTTTCTTATGAAGTTTAACCTTCTTTTTTACGCAGTCAAACCATTTGTATACCAAGAATGGGGTGGATTAGTTCAGATTACCCTCAACGTTGGGACTGTTTGGGAAGGTACACTGCTGGTGACATGTTTAGGCAGCACTTCAACACCATCATCCGATGAATTTGGTCAAAAATTTCCAGGAATTGTACCCTACGCTATCCGGATATCCATTCATTAACTCTCATGGAACTTCAAACATTAAGTAAGTCTCAACACACATCCCTAGTATTTGCAAAAATGATTTGGGTGACTATTGGATTCTAGTGCTTGTTAGCAACATCAGCTAATCAGCACTAAACTTCAGACATCGAACATCTTGGCTGATCAACTTCATTTGTGGTGAACGGAATAGAGTATGAATTTTATTCTGTGCTAGACAGAAGAGCAGCTTCATGGAGTGTGTGAAAGAGTGTGTAAGCTTGAGAAAGAACAGCAGGTTTATGGAGTGTGTGTGGGTGTGTGAGTGGGTGTGTGTGTGGGTGTGTGTGTGTGCGCGCAGAGTGAGGATAATGGCCAATGTGTATAAAGCTTTAGCTGTAGTTGAGCGCTTCGCTCGCTCCCTCAGGCGCTTCTCTTTATTCTCCGCTCCTTTCAGCCGGGCACAATGAGACGGCCTCATTTACGGCTAAACAACACGCCTCAGAGCCGCCACTTCAAATGACCCACATTCTCCCGGCCACCGGACACCTGGGCAGAAACGCTACACCGCCGCTAACGCTAACGGCCTACATTCCCCTTTATCCTCCGGCACAAAGGCGCGCAGGCAGGGGGACCGGCCGTCCACCAGAACAACAGGCCGCATTATCGGCCCAGCACTCTGCAAACGTTTAAAACGGAGACACGGTTAAGATGAAACAGCCTAAACTGATCATTCACACCTGATTCACTCGTTAAAAATGTAAAAATCAATTTTACACAAACTTCCAGTGAGGGCTGCTTGGGATGCAGCCATCTGCAGTCTTTGCTTGTAGAAAGTAGAGTGAATTGTGATGAAACAAACAAAACAGGCAAATAATAACAATAATAGCAATAATAATAATAATAATAATAATAATAATAATAATTAAACAGACAACGCCATCGCTAACCCAGGTGGCACTCTTACGTGGTTGCTAAGGTGTTGCTATGTTAATCCAGTTTAGCCCAGGTGGTTGCTAAGGTGTTGCTAAGCCATTTGCAGTGATATTCCAAGTGGTTGCTAAGCCATTTGTTATGATATCCCAGGCAGCTGTTAAGGTGTTGCTAGGCTGTTGCTTTGGTATCCCAAGGGATTGTTAAGGTGTTGCTAGGCCACTGTTATGGTAACCCAGGTGGTTGCTAAGGTGTTGCCAGGCCACTGCTATGGTATCCTAGGTGGTTGCTAAGGTGTTGCTAAGCTTTTGCTATGGTAACCCAGGTGGTTCCTAAGGTGTTGCCAGGCCACTGCTATGGTATCCTAGGTGGTTGCTGAGGTGTTGCTATGTCATTCCAGATTGTTGTTAAGGTGTTGCTAGGCCGCTTCTATGTTATCCCAGGTGGTTGTTGAGGTGTTGCTAAGCCTTTGCTATGGTATCCCAGGTGGTTGCTGAGCTGTTACTATGTTATCCTAGGTAGTTGCTAAGATGTTGCTATGTTAGCCCAGGTGGTTGCTAAGGTGCATCTGCAAATCAGTAGATGTATTAACTTAGTTTAGAAAATCAAACAAAACCTAATTTAACCAGGAATGTTCACATTTTTGCATATGACCGTAAGCTTGCAGCCCTGTGAGCTCACAGGTTTGATCTGCTGATGTTAAGCACGTCATCCACAGGCCTGAAAAACTGATATTAAAAAAAGAAAAATATGAAAACACGCAAAATTACACTGCCTCACTCAAAACAGTAATAGCCGTCTTGAAGCCTAAATTCCGTAACTGCCCATTTTCGGTATGTCACACAGTGTCAGAACCCACGTAAGTAAATCCGAGATGGCATCTGCTATATCTGATTCCTGTACTGGCA